ACAAACCCATTGCAATTTCCAATACTTGGCAATTAAATCCATCGGTCTGACATACTAAAACTAAGACTAGATATTCCAAGCTTCATCATGTATTCGGATATTTGAACCTTTAATCGCCCCAGATCAAATGGCAGTTGTCAATACTCAAAAATCGAAATTCCTTAAATTATGCCATGGTTTGCAATGTGTATATCAGCTGATTTGCATTGACTCGCGGACTTGCTATAAATGCCATACGCTTGAGTCTTCACGAATCTCCGTAAATTGGCGCGAGTCAGTGCGAGTCCCTGCGATTCAGCGCAAATCATTTTTAATTTATATGGAAATCATACGAGTTTTGCGGACTCGTGACGACAAATAAGCCCCTAGTGAAAAGAGATGAATACAGTGAACATCGTGCTTGCATGCAATATGTAAATATCTCAGTTATAAACGAAGATTTTATTCCATGACTTTTATAATTTTCGTATGAGTGAATTCAAAAAATAAAATAGTCATTGACCGATTATAAATACGCTTTTATGTACATTAACAACAAAATATTTTTCAAATTTATTTCGTCATATGAAGAAATTGTCGGTTCATTCAGCTGTCCTTACAAGCGCACGTGTGTTAAAAATTAAATTCAATGATTTAACGAATTTATAAATGGGCAACCGCGTTCGTTAGTTCGATTAGAGTACTAGTTTACGATAAATGTGTTCGGTTTTATTTACTTCTTGAATAAAATTTTTTGGAATGTTTCATGGAGTTTTTTCTAGTGGTTTTCCTACTACTATGTTGCATTATATATGGTGAAATAAAAAAAATGGTTTATCAAAAAGAAATTACGGTATTTTGAATCCCCGAAGCACTTGCCGATCCTTGGTGTGGCCGCCCGTTTTATTGGAAAACCAAATGAACAGCTTTTGAAATAATTTTTGATATTTTCAATGAAGTTAAATCGACACCGATGCAATTATGGTTTGGACCGTTACTTTATTGGCATATCTGAACCGGAAGATGTTCAAATTATTTTAACTCACGAAAATTGCTTGGACAAACCATATTTTAACAATCATCTACACTGCAAGTCATCCATAATTTCTGCGAGCAGAGAAGTTTGGAAGCCATTCAATATCGTATGGCTTTTATTTCGCTCCATTAAAATAATGATTATTGTTACATAGAACATACAAAAGGTTTCACTTTTTAAGTTTTTACCGGCAGGTACGGCTCGCTATTGGTTACGTTGGGACTTAACATACTCTTTGACTAAAGTGCATCACGACGAACAACGGCTGCTCAAGGTCGGCAACGATCTTTTTGAAGTCGCTTTGAAGAGGAAAGACAACGAATTGAAATTTATGACGGTTTAACAAGTCAACAACAACACAAATCAACCATATGCACGAAATTGTCTAGAAAAGTGCATTTTTTTGGAGCAAGACGGAATATTTAATCGTGATAATATTTTGGATCAAATGCGTTTGATTGTTTTTGCTGGAACGGATACTTTATCTTTCACCACATTTAGTACATTGTTAATGTTGGCCATCAATCAAAAGCATCAAGGCGCCGTATTGGAGGAGCTACGATCAGTTTTTGAAGCGGCCAATTGTGATGTAACTCTGGCACATTTGACAAGCATGCAGTATTTGGAACGTGTTATCAAGGAATCTCATCGAATATTCGCCCAAGTGCCTTTTATCGGGCGAAAAACCTTCGCTGAGATACAATTGGCCAAAGGCTGCGTCCCAAAAGATACAATGGTAATAATTAATATTATGCATTTACATCGATATCCAAAAATTTGGGGTGAAAATGTTCTCGAATTCGATCCGGATAGATTTTCACGCGAAAAATATTGCCAAACGTCCACCGTTCAGCTACATACCATTTTCGGGCGGAAGCAGGAATTGCATCGGCATAAAATACGTCATGATGTCGGCCAAAATTACATTGGCTCATTTGTTGCGACGCTATAAATTCACCACAGATCTTAAATTTGAGGATATTCGAGTGAAAACACACCTTGTGCTTGAAGTGACCAATGAAAGTGCGCTTCGAATTAACAAAAGAAATTTCTAGTCTAGAATTGATATTATGTTTCAGACATTTTTTGTTTCGATGTTGTGAATTCTTTCAATTTAAATAACTCACAATACTTTTTTGTGTTCATGCAACAATAATTTTCTTTCAATTTGTTTTAGTTTTTGGTGGAGGCAGTGAAGTTGAAAAGGTCACATGAAATGATCAAATTTGTTGATTGTAGTACTGGAGAAAAATTTCACGACCTCAAATTTGACCAAATGCAAATCTTATACAATTCATCCACAACCTAAACACAAACTTATGAAACGCATTTTGTCCATCGATTCTTCTGATAAAAACAATAATCCATTTCGTCTCCACACATTAAGTCAAAAAAGTGCATTTTGGTAATTCGAAACCAAAACCTGAATGAAATCATATGATTAGTAATAGTAATAATAATAAGCGGAATATCATATTGAGAGGGGAGAGACAAAGAGACAGAGATAGTAAAACTATGCGTAGTATTAAACTAAGAAATCGCTTGGGAGTTGAGTCGCTTGACTTTGCGTGTTTGAATTGCATGTATAGTAGTAAAAATTAAATCAATCATTCAATTCGAAAATTACGGAGACTAAGTACCTATATCGTCTATTTTCTGTTTCGTTACAAAAACATAGGAAAAAAAGCACACAGAATGTGTGTTATACCGGTTTCAACTTTCTTACAAACTACACAGATTAAGCGGTGTGATCGTGTCCGATTCATATCTGCATGTTATGCACAGATGAATGAAGAGTACATACCTCGAGTCGTTGTTAATATTGAATGACTCAACATGTAATTCCAAATGTTTTTACTGCCACATTATTTTTATGTAATCGCTTAACGCTCCAACGAACTGAACCGAGGATGGTGTGATTCACTGGTGTAATTTTATTTCTCTCCTTCTGATAATGAAGATAGAAGTGTTCAAATGACTCTCTTTAAGAAAACCGGACTTTAATTGTAACTCAGATTATACAATGTGAGTTACCACACTTTTGATTTTTTCTTTATGGAAAGTTTAATGGGTCTGATAAATTGATTATTATGCAATTTTTTTCTGAAATGCATTAACTTCATCTGCATGTCATCATCACTTCGGTTTGAGAAAAAGGAGAATTCGAATTAGAGTTCTCATTGTCAAGGTAATGAATGGCTTGTTTCTCACGAAAAGAGAGCTTTAGTACTCTACTACAATAAAAAAAATTAGAAAACGTGACGAAAAAACATCCCAAAAATATTTAAATTTGTATGTTAGATTGAAAGAGAAAAGAAAGACAACGAAAATCATCTATAAGTTTAGGTTTAAAGACCTCCAACACACCGGTTTTAGCTCACTCTCTCTGGTGAACAGAGTCCGCCAGCACCGCATTAATTGTATATTTTTGTTCACATCTTGAAACATGTGAAAATAATTTGTCAATTCTAAAGTATTTTCAGGCCATTGTAGCATCATCTCATAGTTTGATTCATTACAAAAAAAAGAGAAGTGGTACAAATTCAGCCACCAATTTGGGACATAAGACACAAATACCATTGCAGTGTTCATAATAAATAATAGCTGGAGTGTTATAAGCATAACACTCAGATCGAAATGGTCAGTTGCGAAACGACTTGTGCAAAGACAGCAAGCCATCTTGGCCGTACTCTCTCGGTGAAATTTAAATTTCTCTTGAACGTTAAACAACAAAATGATTGGTGAAGTACTTGTGGTGTTTTCAATAGTATCTACAATTATCTTAGTTGCAGTTGAATGTTGGAAAGTGTATTTGAATGAAACGAAACTCAAAGCATTTCATCATCAAACAAGTATTCCAGTTTTTGGCCGGGCATTACATCTTTTGGGCAAAAACAATGAAGAAATTATGGAATCGTTTTGTCAAGATCATGACGATCTGACCTATATTTGGGTTGGACCTATCCTTTTGTTCCATGTTTCGTCGCCCGAAGATTTTCAACAAATTTTAACGTCGGATAAGTGTTTAAAAAAAGCATTTGTATATGAATTTTTATACAATCGCACCGGTATATTGACCAGTGAGCCGAGTATATGGAAAGAACATCGTCGAGCATTGAATCCGACACTCGGTCCGAAAATGGTGAAAAGATTTATACCGATTTTCAACGATAAATCACGAAAAATGGTCGATCTGATGGAACGAAAACTTGGTAGCAAAATTGATATGCAACGAACTATGTTCAAGGCAGCGGCTGAAACAATTATGACCGCATCGTTTGGTCTGAATTGGCCAATGCAGAATAAACGTGGCGACGATATTCATGATTTGATCATATTCATATTGGAAGGACTGCAGAAGCGTGTTCAACGTGTTTGGCTTTGGAACCCCGTCTACAAATTTACACAAGAATACAAACGAAATATTGTGAAATTTCTAGCATTTTATCGATTTAATCGCAGTGCATTAGAAACGAAAAAAATGCAATTGGCCGAAAAACTTGAGCATGGTGAAGATGAACTTGCAATCGCCAAAGAAAATCACAACCAGAATTATTTGCAAAAATGTTTGCAATTGGAGTTCGAACAAAAATGGACGGACTTGGAAGTTTGTGAAGAAATGGACACGATTTTCGTTGGCAGTGTAGATACATCAGCAACAACAATTTGTGGTATTACATTAATGTTAGCCATTCATCAAGAATATCAAGAGCGTGTTGTTGACGAAATGCGTGAAATTTTCGAAGATGTTGACGAACCAGTGACCAATGAGCATCTTGCTCGAATGACATTCTTGGAACTTGTCATCAAAGAATCAATTCGGCACTTCCCAATTGCACCTTTTATTGGACGTGAGTGTACAGCTGATTTCGAGATCAACGGCGGTGTCATTCCAAAAGGTTCACAAATCTTCTTAAACGTACTTCGAATGAATAAAAATCCCAAATTTTATGGTGAAAATGCACATGTATTTTATCCAGAGAGATTTTTACCTGAAAATTGCTCAAACTGGCATCCTTATCTTTACGTTCCGTTCTCCGCTGGTCCAAGAAATTGTATTGGCGCACGTTATGCTTGGGCTTCGCTTAAAATAGCTATGGCATATATTTTGAGACGTTTCAAACTCACAACCCACTTGAAAATGCAGGACATTGTCATAAAACCGGAATTGCTTTTAAAAATTGGCAACGAAGATCCAATTCGCCTCGAAAGAAGAGAATGGTGATGTTAACAAAAATTCCAAAGACGAATACCAGCCAAATCAATAATAATATTCTTTTTTTGCTTTAACAGCTTTTCATATGCGTTGCGCAAAAAGTTGAATAAACCTACAGTATCCAAATATCAGTTTTTCGCATTTATACTTTCGTTTTAGGTAGCATCATCAGAATAAACAAAAAAACATCATTGCAACTGACTTTCATTTTTATTATTCTCCATTCGCATCCGATTTTGTTCATAATAAAACTTTTACTTTTTTTCAGCACGATAATATTTTACATTTTTTTTATTTGCACGTATTAAAATGAATGTGTCTTTTGCCAAAAATACACGTAATAAAACATATATAGCGTTTTTAAACATTTGGAATCTTTAAATTTCCTTAAACGAACTGGTCCCAGTGACTAGAAAACTTGAGAACTAGAATCTTTTCGAATATTTATTAGAATTACAACAAAAAACCAGTAAACGTCAGTTAATAAAAGGTATTGTGTCGACTATTTTATTGAACAATAGTTGTTTGTTTTTTTCCTCATTTGTTGAAGAAACCGCTATTTTTTTAATCAAATCAGAGAAATTTGAAACATTGTTGAGGTTGAAGCCATTTCGTTTCACATTGAATAACTGTTGTAATCTCTCTGATTGACGTAGTGGTTGATGGCGTACATAGTTCAAACCAATGTCAAACCTACACTGTTTTTCACAGCAGTAGCTATGTTTAAATACAAATCTTGAAATAAAATTAACAAAGCGTGAAATAAAAGTGACACAACGGGTAATAAAATTGACAAATAGGTTCCATAAATTTGACAAAAATTAAAAATAAATTTAACAAAACTTGCAATAAAATTAACATTTCTTTCAATAAAATTGCCACGTTGAGAAATTAATTTTGACACAAGTGGCAATAAAATTGCCAAAATAGGAAATTAACTTTGACAAAACGGGCATAAAAATAACATATTTTGCAATAATACTGACCAATATTTTTTGGATATTGTTATTTTTATTGCCTGTTGTGTCAAAATTAATTTCACAAAGTGTCAATTTTATTGAAGGTAATGTAATTTCCATTGAAAATTGTGTGGAAATTAATTTCATTATGTGTACATACTACATATAATACTGTACTCTCTTCTTGCCATGAAATTTATGAGCTCATTCAGAGACATCATCACCCACATCTAGAAAACAAATCAAATCGCTCTGGTAATTCAAAATCTCAAGTATCCATATTTACATTATATGTTTTGGATATTGCACAAATTAACGATGATTGAAATAATGTAAAGAAGAAATGAACAGAAAACCCTTTTCTGCTTTATATTTTGTCATTTTCTCCATATCTTATGCTTTAACAATGTTTGACGTTTGGAACTGCTGTGGAAATTTTGTTGGGAGCGCCGCCAACCACAAATCTCCGTAACTATACGTTTGTGTGAAAGTAAAGTCTTTGTGTGTACGTTCGTGTGAATGCAAAGAGTCTATGTCTATTGACTAGATCGAGAGGAGAGTAAGTTCATCTGACTTTGTTACGAAAGAGGAGAGTAAGTTTCTTTCGACTCAAAAAAGGTTAAAGGCGAGTATGTTGTTGGGAGCGCCGCCAAACATAAATTTCTGTAACTATACGTACGTCTTAAAGTAAAGTCTTTGTGTGTACGTTCGTGTGAATGCAAAGCAAGGAGGAAACTACTACTACCGCATGATTCATATTAATACAATCTAGTACAACACCAATTCTGATAAATTACAAAAAATTCTGCGCAATTCAAAACAATTCCAATCAATCCTGATGTTTCTAAGTCAAATTTGATGATGATTAACTTCAAAAATTGCAAATATAGGGTCATCTAGCATCTCAAAGGAATGCTTAAGCGCATGAATGTTCAATCTTATCGAAATAACTTCAGATAGGGCGTTTTTAATTGTACATAGGTCTCACTTCCAATTCAATATTTCACTTCAAATAGGTAAAGGCTTTATGATACATAAAATATTTTCAAAATAGAAAACAGAGCTAGAATTGAGTCTTGTAGATCAAACCAAGTCAAATATGTTCTGGAAGTAAAAATCTTCAATATGCATTCAAATGAATGGTAAATGTCCCTATATTTGCGATATTTTAAGTTGATCATCGCCAAATTTGACTAAGAAACATCGGAATTGATTTGAATTGCGCAGAATTTTTTTAGAATTTTTCAGAATTTGTGTTGTACTAGATTTTATTAATATGAATTACGCGGTAGTAGTAGTTTCCCCCTTGATGCAAAGAGTCTATTCGTGCGTTGTACAAAGAGATGTTGATTCGTGCCGCCATATGCATATTTCTTTGTTTGATTCAAAGGCTTTTTTCGTCTGTGAATTTTCCAATAAACGAACGTTCGAAACCAACGTATTAACCCTCAACTGCATGAATTTTACCTAGATCTGGGATTATTGGTATTTAGTTAATTTTGGGACACATATAACGAAATCGGAGAATAGTCAAATCCATTGTTCAAAAGTGTTAAAGAAGCGATAAGATTTTTGCCTCAACTGATATTGCAGTTGAAATACAGTTAGCGCCACAAACAATTTTCAGTTGTCAACAATAACTTTGTGGTGAATTCAACAACAATGTTTGATTTGAAAAAAAGAGACGATAAGATTTGTTTTATTGTTTCATACAAGCACTTAAATCTTATATAAATTATAATTAAACCGAATTATTTGGCCGAGAAATACTTAGTTGAAACTAAAAATAATGTGTTGTGCGATTTCACAATATTATTGTTATTATTATTTATATGTATATTTCAATCGTTTATCGTGTTACACACAAAGTTTCTTATTCTGGATTCAAATACTGTTATTAATATTTTCACAAAATTCACATTTACATACAGACAGACATTGCAAACACCGCTGACAACTTTTCGGTGAATTCAGTGTCTGTGTTTTACAGGCTTTGTTATGCGCTAAATCTATTGCGCTAAATAAATTCATGCGATAAATGTCTGTTGCTCTTCACTACCGCTTAGCGATGCGTTCACTGCAAAGCATGAACGTTCAGGCGTAAACAAGTGAAGAGCAACAGACTTCGTTCACCGCAAAGCGAGCGCATCACATTTATCGCATGAATTTATTCGCGCTGATGGTAACAAGAAATTATTCGAGATCAACGATGAAAATTCAATGCGCATGAATTCATCAATGTGTTTGTGTGGTATAGCGTAGGCAGTGAATATATATTTTGAAATCACATAACAGATAATTGTTATAATTATTTTCAACTCTTTCTCGGCTAAATAATTCGGTTTAATTGTAATCCTTCACTTCCTTGAAATTCATACGGCATCTAACCCATTAACGCCCGAACAAATTTTTTTTCGAATTTTCTGATAAAAATTTGACAGGATAATTCTGAGAGCCCAAATAGGATTTTCCCGAAGTTTCAGAATTTTCCGACACGTTTTAAAATTTCATAATTTTCCGGCATTTTCCGGAAAATTGCTGGTTGGAAAATCTTGAAAATCGGGGAAAATATTCTTCAAACCTTTCCTAACACACATGCAAAAGGGCATGGAAAAATTCCAAGCCGTTTGATCAGAATAAAAGAAAATGTAAAATAAGTCATAAAAAATCGTCAATTTTTGCGTTCAAAAAATAGGACGTTGGGCGTTAATAGGTTAAAAAAATCTTTTCATTCTCTTTAAGAAATCAAACACTGTTTTAGTATTCACCACAAAGTTATTGTTATTAACAGACAGTGGACTCACTATTTTTGCTGAATTCCGCTCGGAAAAACGAGTTTCGCCATGTGTAATTTGGCTATACAAACCAGTGCAATTGAATAATATTATTAAATATTTACACATGGAAATATCTCGAAAACGGCTGGATAAATCGACAAAATGGACCGTGGTTAGTGATGGGCAATATTTACCCACCCGAATAAATACCGGGTATTTACCGGGTATTTATCGGGTATTTACCCGAAGGGCTGAATAAGTACCCAAAAATGGGTATTTATGGGTATTTTTAAAATATGTGATTTCTATGAATTTTTGTTGAATTCAAATCAGATTATTCAAGTTTCAGCTGTTTTTGTACGATAATGTAGCGTAATATCCAAGTTGGTCTCATTGACACCGAAAAATAACCGCATATTCACACATTTGGTTGTGTTGCTCATGCACTGAATTTACTTTCTTCGAGCGAAAATTTTTCAAAGCAAAAAAAGTCACGAATAAAATAAAAATGCCACGTCCTGTATAGTTTATTCAGCCAAAAGCAACGTGAAATGGAGACCCATGTGACTCTTAAACTACCCTCTGAAACTCGATGGGTATACGAACTACAGGCTCTCGAATTGTTGATCGCAAAAAAAAGGAATTTTACGGTTAATGGTAGCTGATCCAGATATTTCGGCCGATTTTGATTAAATAAACGCGAACGATGAAGATCTAGAATTGCCAGGCGATGTGAAAATATTCATATTGGACAATCAATTTTGGTTAAAATTTGAAGGACCTCACGAAATATTGAACAAAATTGGAAACTGATGACGTAGATATTCATAAATCACATAAACTATTGAGTAATATGTTCGCAACAGTGGATTCGTTGGCTAAATCTTCGAATGTTTTTAATGCTTGCAATAAAAAAATGCTGAAAAATCTGTTCAAGAGCGCAAATATAAAATAATGAAACCGATCATGATATGTGCAGCTGCTGCATTAGTTTTATTGTTTTATCAGCCAAAAAGGTAAAACTCGACGAAGAAGCTGTGATGACTCAATTGATAAATTATCGAGTAAAAGCAAAAATTTGGGGCATGGAATTCGTTTGGGTCTCTTGTGCAAATGTTAGTCCGTTGGTTTGGTGAAAATCATTTTTTGGACATAGCAGAAAAAATTCTCACGATTTCATTGACTTCTACGCAAACAGAAAGTACATTTGGTTCATTCACAGTGTGAATTTCACACACAGAAGAGAAATCGTTTGACAACGGAAACATCGGGTATAATTATGAACATCGCACACAACTATAAGTTGATGCAGGCTACAAGTAGAAAGCGAAAGAATGAAGAAGCAAGCACCAACACCAGTACCAGTTCAAAGCGAATGTGACATGATAAAAGTTCAAAAAAAGTTTAGATGACAATTAAAATGAAATTTCTGTGTCTTTCATTCATATTATTACTTTTTAA